GGTGTGAGCAGATGTTGCTCATAGGGGCAGTGGAAAGCTGCAATTTCCCAGAAGTGTGCCGTTTTTCTCAGGGCACCAATGTTAGCGAGGACTCAGAAGTGGGCATTCATACATTTTTACTACTTTTTTTCAGAGGGGGCATTTGAAAGCAGGAGCTGAGTATGCTGATCAGGTTACTGTCAATCCAGCCAACATATTATCAATAATTAAGAGGTTCTCAAACACAAATCAACAATTTAGATGAAGACGGACACTTGAGTTCAGCATCAAAATCAACATTTCTATCGTACAGATGTAATCAGATTCACAGATGGCAACAGATGTGATTGTAACACTGATTTGTCAGGGGCGACAAGTCCAAAAATTCAGATTGTTGCATGATGTTGCTTTAAAAATGCTTTTGCTATTGGAGCAGAAGATGGGTAGGAAGATCAGACGACAGAAGGAGGTTTAAAAAAATTGATTTCCCACAATTTTTTACAAACCCATCAGGATTAAATGTTCCTCAAGTTACATAAATTTGACAGAATTACATATGTGCTGTTCAATGTTTTTTCCCCCAGTTTTGCCCATGTGATCTGATTGGATTAGACGTTTCCTGTGCAGTTCTGAAGCACTCATGCATCCATGTTTATGTACTCTGATGTAACGTTGCCCCGCAGTATTTTAATTTCAATGTTACCACACATAACAGAGGTTTTTAATTTCAGTGAAGTTTGCCCAGGGCCCAAACTGTCAGGAACCACTGCTGTTAATTTCCTTCTGTTTGCGTATGTGTGAGTTTCTGTTTCAGGTGGGTTGGTTGGTGTCTTCAGGACACCAGCGATACAACCTGAAACCAATTTTTCTGATTACTTTTGTGTTCCTGAAGCTTTCCTGCTCCGTCTTGTTCCTTGCTTATAAGAAGAGGCGTTTTGAGTCGAAACAGCCGGCGGTGAGCTGAACAATCAGAGTCAATGTCATGCTAGTGTCGGCTGCTGTGTATCAACTAATTTGAGGAGTGGTGACACATAACAAAAAGCTGCTTGAACTTGAAATATGTGCAGTGACAGAGAGAGCTCTAACAGAACAAAACAGGAACTTATCAGACATTCATATGACTATGGTCCTGTTACTCTAAATTTCCAACACATGCGGAACAGTGGCGAAACTGCCGTCGGCGCCAATCGTTTCCATTCAAGTTAATGTGTCCAAATTTCACTGACTTCTTTCCCACCCCCCTGCAGTTCAGCGGGCTTCATAGCCGATCGCCAGGGTTCAATTTTTTGTTGCTTGTATCGACATGATACGGGTTCAGAAAAAAATACTGATGTCCAAAATAATCGCACGACAAAAACGCTCCCATTGTGTAAGGACCTTTAGACATTTACCAGTTCTTATTTCTTTGTCCAAACGATGCAATTCTTTCACCTGTCTTTTGCAATACAACTGTTTATTCTGGCTTTTTTGGCTTTGCGTGTTTGTGGTTTCTGGTGCGTCTACAGCCAGCCTCTAGTGGCCACTCAAGGAACTGCACTGTGTAGCTCTTCTGCATCGGCTTTATTTCCCAAGACTGGAGGTTCAGAGTCGTCAGTGAGGTGCTTAAATTTCTGTCACGCAAATACATTCTGAGTGGTTGATCAGTTTCACATCAGTATAACATCCAGGTGACACATCAGACCACATTATTATTACTTCACAGTCATGTACTGTACTCTGTTCCACCTCTGAATCACATGTTCTCCTCCTTCCTGCCAGTCTAATCCCTTTAGCTCTGCGAGCTCCTCACTCACTGAAACAGATCATTTTCTTACCCCCAACATGTAGGCGACACGCAGAGGCACGCTATCTCCTCATAGCCATGCAAGCTCACACAAAGTCACCCATGGCAGGTACCCCACGCTGTTTGGCCTCTGCAGATGGAATTACTCAGACAACCATGCAGCGCTCCAAATGGGGAAAGAGGTGAATTGTAATGCTGTTGAACTTAATCTCGTGTCACAACTGCAGTGGAAATGTCGCTCCCAGAAAGCGGATTCCTACAAAGGGATTCTTCAAAAAGAAACAACAACATAAAAAAAGGTAGAGCGGCGAGGTTTGTTTTCTTTTTTTTTTTTAGAGTAGACTGTATCCAAGCGTAAAGTAAATTTCCCCCAAAATAAAAGCATGTAGATAGGACCGCTCCAAGGGGCGTAGGGTGCATGCTGGGTAAATACACGGTGCGTCTTTGCATACATCTGTCTGTGTTCCTCAGCATCTCTTTTGTTGAGGAAAGATGTAGACGCCTTTTTCCTGAATTTGCATTTAAATTCCTACATCCGCGAATCACAGATCTGAAGCTATAATGTCTGATTGAGGGCTCTGTGTGTGAAGATAGTGTATAATCCAAATACTGCTGTGTAATGGTACAACATTTCTCCACAGTTTCACCGGCTTTGCTTTTCCTCTTTTGCTCTTTTGTTTTTTTTTGGGTGAAATTCTCTTGGCTGCAAAACTCCCTTTTCCCTGATTTTAACCCAACTTTGATTTTGCTTTCTGCTTCAATATTACATCTTTTCCTTTCAACCATCCAAAATACATCCTTTCTCTGCCTCCTCTTTCCTTTTATTACCTTTATTTTTCTCTCAACTCTTAAACCATTCCCCCTTTCTACATCCACTTTTCTTTTCCAAGAAACAGCCCCTACTTCCTTGTCTCCAAATTTCACTTCTTTAATCACTTTCTCTCCCCAGTTGCCTTCACCTTGCCAGGCACCAAACCCACAGAAACAGATGTAAACAGTCCTCCCAAGCGTCCTTTCTCACCCCTGATTCCTGCTTGCCTTTTTCTGAACTCCGGGACACGGGAAGGTGGCCATTCATCACGGCTGCCGAGGTAAAACCACGTGGAGTCAAAGTATTGAGGCAGTCATAAATCGTAAATGCGTGGGGGGCATGTTTCAGTCAGTGGAGGAAAGGATCAGAAAACATTCAGCACCATGTTCGTCGTGACAGGAATGCAGATGGCAAACAGAGTCTGGCTCTAACCCAGGGTTAATTAGAGAGAGGTGGTTTATACAAAAGCAGGAGTAGGAATTCAATCTTTATTTGCAGGTTGGTACTGATGGAGAAAAAGAAACAAAGTCATAAAGCCTGTTGCAGAATGATATAACCAGCAGATGATTTTGCAGTTTGCCTTTATTGTAGAGTATTTACAGACACCCTGTGGGTTTCTTTTACTTGTTCAGTCGAGGAATCCTCCAGCAATAATGGGACCAGAATTTATCCTTAACAGCAAGAGCTAACATAGTTTCTGCCAATTTAAAGAACAGGAATGAAGCTAATATGGAGAAATAGCTTCTGAAAAAAACTGGGATATTTCTGACTCTTTTTCTGGAATAGGGCTGCCATTATTTTAGATTTTCACTTCACGATTATCAGGATATTTATGGAAAACTTAAAAAAACACATTTGTTTCAGGATTTGGAAGATTTTTAGACCATGATGACATTTTTAAGTGTTGAATCATCTCTCAGAGGGCTGCTATAGCTCGCTCATCTGCAGTCTGGTACTTTTTCATCATCCCCTTTTTTGAGACATTTGGCATCCAGCAATGTGGAGCGCAACTCTGAACTCTGAGTATTACTATCCCGACAGCCCTGTGTTAAAATTTTCTGTAGATTCTGTAAATTTAGAAGGAAGTTTATGTTTTATTTTCCAAACTGACATAATCAAACGATGAGGGTGGTGGGTTTTTAGGCACAAAGTGACATTAAAAGTTTTATCTCAGTGTAAAGTTGTCATCGTGATGGCTGACAGAGCAACAGAAATCATGCAATGACAGGTTTTGCATTTAATCACGGCTACATGCAAACTAGGGATGGAACAACTCATTTAAAAAAATCGGAGCTGTTTGTTTCTAATGTTTCGGTTCGGAACATGTGTGTCGTTTGGTTAAAAAAATATAAAAACTTGTGCAGATGCGCAACAACTTTCTCAGTTTTCACGTGGAAGCGAATTGCAGCAGCACTTCGGTTGTGGAAATGGCAGGCAAAAAAAAAAAAATGGCTAAATTCCACAGGATATGGAACGGCAATGTGTCAATTCCACACAATCCGTCCACCGTCTGGCTCAGCCGCAGATCCACTTCGGCGGACAGATTAGATACACAAGGCTTCTATTTTTGCCGGACGCCGCAGTACAGCGCATCAATTCAGTGCAGCGCAGCACAAGTGGCAGCGGAAGTTTTATGCGGCTACAAAGTAAAATATCTGATTAATTTTCAAAATAAAATAAAGTCAATAATTGAACTGTTCTTCATGTGATATTGGGAGGGGCCTGGGTCCGGTAATATCACAAGGGACTACCTCATCGGATCCGATGGGCGCTGCATGCTTGCGATTTTGATCCGCCTGCCATACCGGAGTGGAGTGGAGCAAAACCGCATGCGGTGGAATCCCTGGGTAAGGACTCAGAGCTACAGGATGCACCAGCAGCAGGATTATACTGGTCTGCATTATGAAAGCACCGTGAAACACAAGTTGCTATTGCTGCCGGCAACACTTCTAACATACAGTATCTGGTCATATGGAGAGACATCACCCCAGTGTGTCACTCAGCACAAAGAGAGTTACCAACAACTTCTGTGTCCTGTAGCTTTTAACCCTCTGATGCATGAATTATGAAAGCCCTGATCAAGATTTTTTTCATAAGTGTTTTTATTATTCTCAGGACATGAAAGAACATTATAAACTGTTTTTTTCCAAAAATGTTATTATTTCATAAAAGTACAGAAGTGTCCATTCAGGTGGACTACATGCGCCTGAGCACTCAACACAAAACATTGTGAACTTACTGTAAAAAGTACAGTACACCTAAATATGCCAAACTATTGGCAACATTGGAAACAATATTGTTTGTCCCCACAGTACTATCAGGATTCAGGACTGACATTACCTTGCCCTTATGCAAGCATGTTGTTTTCAACAACAAAAACTGACATTTTAGTCCCTGAATCTCCAAACATGTCTCTGCTCATCACACCTAGGATGTATGAAAGTTCGCAAAGCATCCAGGGCACAGTGGCACAGAGCAATGCATGCAGATGTATTTGGTCTTCCGCCTGCATGCAGCATCATGGCATCTGTTTGCATTTTTCACTTCGGTGAGCTGGGGCCAGTGGTTTCCTGTGCCAAACCTGACCTCACGGGCTACTTTGGTGACTGCTCTCCGCTTCACGGGTGGTGGGGTCGCACTGGGTCTTCCTCTTCCTCTGCTGAGCTGGAGGGTGCCACTATTTATCAGTGCACGAGCCACAGAAGCTTTGAAAAGGAGGAGACTCATCTTGTCCAATCCAGACATCAGGTAGAGACGCCAGGCATTTACAATGGCCACATCCAAAAAATGAAAAAACACTCGGATGTACCACCTCTTGTTTCGACGTCTGTGGGGGTACATTGCCAGGCACTGGTCAACGAGATCAACCCCACCCATGTGTTGATTGTAAAGGGCCACAGAGAAGGGTTTTTGGACCCTGACCATCATTTGTTCCTTCTTGACCCATCGGTGTGCAACATCTTCTGGGGACTGGCCAGCACAGGACGAGACCATGTGGATGACTGAACTGTCAAGCCAACGTGTGACAGTGATGTTTTCATTACTGCTGACAACAGAACAAGCTCCTCTGCCAATTTCTTTTAGTTGTTTTTCACTTTTTAGTTTCTGATTTGCTCCCTTTAGCCTATTGGCTCTGCATGTACCTGTACCATAGATGCCTTGGTCTTTCAAGGCCTCGATGAGTGGAATACTGCAGAAGAAGTTATCGAAAAACACCTTGTGATTTTTGTGTTTTATGTCGTCACAAAGACGCATCACCACATCTCCAGCCATTCCCAACTTACTGATCCGACCACTGCTTGCGGAGCCTTGGTAGACTTCAAATCGGTTCATATAGCCTGAGCTTCCTGCCCTCACCCACACTTTCACTCCCCAGGGTTTTGGCTTTTTTGGTATGTATTGTTTGATGGACAGTAGGCCTTTAAAAGGAATCATCTGCTCATCAACTGACTGAAATTCCTCAGGGTCTGCTGCTGCCTTGAATGTTTCCTCAAGCACACTAAGCAGTGGTCTTATTTTGAAGAGCCTATCCTTGTTTCCTGGGTGATAAGTCAAGTTATTCACAAAGTGCAGGTATCTCAGGATTTGCTCATATCTGTTTACAGACATGGCATTTGCAATCATCCCTAGACGAAGGCCCTCCTCACTAGACCAGTACATTCGTGCCCTAGGGTAACGAATGTACCCCATGATCATGTTGATCCCTAAAAAAGTCTGCATTTCTTCTCCTGTCACTGCGAGATTTTCTTTCCCTTTCTGGAGAGCATAGAGGTTGGTGTTGATCACTATATCATCAATGAGATCTGCTGGAAACAGATGTCTGAAGAAATCTATGGGCTCTCTCCCCTCCACATTCAATCTCCACTCTCCTAGAAAAGGAGGCAAATCTCCATCAAAGTCGTTGTCTTGGACTTTCCAGATATTTTTGCGAGCTTGAGAATGGTCAGGTGTCATGTGGCCATTTTCCACAGCTTCCTGATCATGCTGACCTTCCCCTGCATCCTGCCTCTCATTATCCTGGTCCTCATCCTCTTGACTATAGGCATCTACACTTTCTGCATCTTGACTGTCTGTATCGCCATCATCCTCAGCTCCTACATCTCTGTTCTTCTCTGGCAGCCACTCTTCGTCACTATACTCATCACTGGACTCATCATCACTAGAGCTGGATGGAATTTCCTGGACTATTCTGTAGGCTGCCTTATTCTTTGCTGTGTTTGACGTCTACAAAATATGATAAAATAATTATTACAGTAACACAAACTATAGCTAAGATGAAAGAAAAAGTATATTTTAAATGAATAGCTTATATATGTAACAGTTATACACTGATTTATAACCAAAACAGTCACAAGTAACAGTGGAGCAATTACATGACTCCTGTTAAAAAAAATACTGGGTGATGCATGATGTCCACTCAGTTGGACACATGGTTAATCGTAATTTTCTACATATTGGACATAAAAATTTCAATTCCAAACGGATAATAACCTTCCTAAGATGTTACAGTATATCATCATATTTTTTTTACCTCTGGGGTTCTTTTACTATAGAAGTATTGACAGGACATGCCAGCTGTGGTCGGCAGGGGTGGCTGTTTCTCGGCCATCTTGGATTTGTAGGAAATTTACTTGCAGTTACCCTGATTGATCACTAAATGTAACTCATTGGAGTAGGGCAGTAGAGAGCACTCTAGAGGCTGATACACACTTCCACCATAGAAACCATTGCATTTAAGAGAAAAAGAGTTTTTGGTAGCTGTCCACTGTAGTGACCACTATGAACCAGAGGGTTAAACAGCCTGTAAATGAAAAGTCCGACAGGGCCAAAACCAAAACAGAAGCAGTGGGGTGTTTTATAGCTAAAGACATGCAGCCTTATGCCGTGGTGGAGGGTGTGGGATTTCAGCACATGGTAAAAGCACTTGAGCCGCGATATAAAGCCCCCTCCCGCAAACACTTCAGCGACACGGTTAATTCCCGCACTTTATGAAGTGACACGAAGACAAATTGAGAAAGAGTTGTCTCACACATCCCATGTAGCTTTTACTACTGATGGATGGACCTCCCGGGCTACTGAAAGTGTTCCGGCTGTAACTGTCCATCACATTACCGCAGAGTGGGAGATGAAAAGCTCCATTTTACAGACCCGCCTCCTGCATGAGAGCCACACAAACCAGCATCTCTCTCAAGCAACTAGATGCAATGACATTGGACATTAGCAGCACAATCCCTATAGTTATGGTGAATGCAGTCAGTGAAGGAGCTGGACTGGGCCCACAAATTGGCTGCTTTGCATATACTGTTAATCTTGCAGCCAAGAATACAGTCTCAATAAATGAAGTATCCTAACTCCTGAGAAAAATAGGAAGGTGGTAACATTTTTCCATGGGAGTGCAACAGACAGCCATGCCCTAAAAATCAAACAGGGTATCCTGAAATTACCAGTTCACAAACGTATACCCCTGAGGCCCCATTCATACGTACCTGGTTATTTTTAAAAATTGAGACATTAACCATCGTTTGCACACTTTGCTATATCTATGCTTTTTTAAAACAGAGAAAAACAGAGATTTGGGTAGCCGACGGCAGATTGTGTGCCATTGTTGTTGTTGTTGTTGTTGCTATGCGGGATTCTGATTGGCTAGCGTGGGCTTGAGTTTCTCACAACACTGCCACCTACAGGTTTGGCATGCTCTTGACGGCAAATACACTATATACACAGGTTAGTGTAAACGAAAACTTTTCTGAAAATTTAGTGGTGTGCACCCTTTTTTTTTTGTTTGTAAACGGAGAAAGTAAAATGTCTGTTTATGAAGATAGCCAGGCACGTGTAAGTGTAGTCTGAGTGTCCATGATCGTCCCTCTGCAGAAGATGATGCTAAATCATCAGTTATGTGCCTCTCTTCCAGTTAAGTACTCGTGCACGATAAACACATTATTATCCTCGTCTATTTTTTATATATTACCTGCTTCACGTTGACATTAGCTCACCCAGACTTCATACAGAAATTTTAAGGTAGGGCTTGCAGGAAGAATTTAAAGACAGACGAGTCTAGAGTTCTGAGCATGAGTCCACACAGCTTCAGCAGGCAAGGTTTATCTAGAGCATTATTGCACTGTTTAAATGTCGTACGCCGCACAGGGTTAATGCCGTTTCTCACCTCACTGATGTGCCGACAAACACGTAAAATCATTACCGAGAGTGGCGAAGAAGAGTGCTAACAGGAATATTGACAATTGACACTTAAAAGATGACGCAGATAGCAAGATACCGTGTGACGCATGTAAAGGTGAAACTTCAGGAGGATATTGATGAGTGTTGAAGGACAATTAGTGCTTAATGTGTGACGATCCAAACACAGCGACTTAATGTGACTGTCGGTGTTAGTGGCAGAGTTCACAGTCATCGAAATAATGTAATCAAGGGATCAAAGTCTGATTCAAGTGTAATATTATGTTGATGAAGGATAGAATGATCAAAATAACACATATTTTTAAATTATCAAGAAATTACATAAAGCAGGCTCCAAAATCCAAGCATCGATAATTACGATACCTTTTTTTTTGCCATCATTGTTGACATTATGTGAACTAAAAGTGTCGAATATAATTTTAAAGCTCAGAATCAGTTTAATCCTAGTTTGATTTTTCTGATTGCAAGCAGTGGTTGTGAAAGGAGTGTGTATGTGAAGTTCCTCACACACACACACACACACACACATTCGGGTCAAGTGTAAAACATGAAAACACTGAGAAGTGCAGCTCTATAGACATCATCATTCCTCATGTGACCCCATGTCTCTGACTCCCATTTTGCTGATGTGTCCTTGACTGTAAATCTTGAGTCCCGGCTCGCTGCAGAGCTGCTGCTCTTTAGCTGACTGTGACCTCTGACCTCTGCCGAAGGAATGAATCAAAGAGGGGTGAAGCTGTGAGCGGTGACCACAGACTGAGCGCTCAACAGGAGAAGAAAAAAAAGAGCTGCAGGGTGACTCCGAATGGTGCTGAAGGTCTCTCTGTGCGTCTGAGTCACATCGTCTTCTACACGGCTCATTCAAGATGATACATTTTTCATTTTTCATTCAACCCTGTGTCATGTGGACACTGTGATCCTGTTAAAGCGGCCTCACTATCTTCCTCTTTAAAGGCAAGGTAAACTGTTGCAATCATAGACTGTATAAAGAATGGACGCCGTCTGCCTCCTCGCTGGGTGAAGCCACCGCGAAAACAGCACCCTCTGGTGACAGGCTGCAGTATAGGTCATAAATCCTGCCTCCGCCAGCAAAGCTTATGGAGCTGTGGACAAACTTTAGAAATTTATTACACAGAACATAAATTTTTCTCCTCCCTTGTTGTGATGTTGACATTTACTGTAAGACTGGTTTGTGCTCAAGTCCTCTTTTTCCTGTACAGCTCCATTTTTTAAAGTTTTTAGGAGGTTCATGTTTTCTTTGATTGACACTTGATACAGCCTATGGGTGTACGAAGATTGCGTAGCTCACTCAGGGAATACGCTGTTTAAACCGAGCGTCATCACAGCGACCCTCTGCAACTCTCCTGCTGAATGTGTACAACTCTACTGCGCAAAGTTGGTTTCAGTAAGTGGGGGAAAAACGTGGAATTACCGAGAGCTTTTTGGCTTTAAATCTGTATACTGGCGAAAGGCAGAACCAAGTTGTCCATAGTATATACAGTTGCAAGTTGCAGCAGGTGTTTGCAAAGTAAGACCATCTACTCACTCAGAATACGGCTGGGTGATACACCGAAAATTTACAGATACCGAAATTTGTGACAATAATAGGCGTCATTTCGCCCATGTCAATATATTAGGTGTCAAAAATAAATACAAGTTGGTTTTGGATGTTTGTAGGTGGGCTATGGTCCCATGTCCCTTTAAGACGCTGTACTACATTTGAGACATGACTCCACTCCATCCAGTCCGTAACAAAGAGGGAAAGACAGGTGAGGAGACGGAGGACGGTTCAAAAGTTGTAGCGACTGAAGTAGACGAAGTTAATGTGGGAGGGGGTGAGCAGCTTGCGGAGTAGTTATCTTCCATTTATCGTTATTGAGGTGAAATGATCAATATATCATAGAATTAATTTGAGGCCATATCGCCCAGCTCTAACTCAGAGCTTGTTTCCATTACAGTAGAAACGTAAACATTAGCTGTAAACACAGTGAGATGAGACGATGGTCCTCTCTTTCTGGTTCGAGCTCTCTGTTATACACTGAGTCCTCTGTATTTTGTTTCTTAGTTCACTAATCTGCACTGAATGTTGGAGCAGGAATAAGAGCTCCAGCATTAAAGTGAGAACAGAAATGAGTGTCTGCAGCTGAACACAAACAGCTGGATTTTAAATGATTATTGTGTTAGAAATAGGAGCAGCAATTTGGCTCTCTCCTCTTTGAGTCGATGGAGTCTTATTGATCGGCCAAACGATTGACCGGTCTATCCCTACTTACAATGGAATCAACAATCTGGCAACAAATGCCTTTTTGTTTTTAGATGTGGCTGCACAAAGGAGAGGAAAGTTGTCGTTGTTGTGCACTAAACTATAGATTTCTTTCGATGGTGAGATCTTCCACTCGCGTGTGCAGAATCTGATACAGAACACTAATTCAGGCACAGGCAGATCTATCTGTCCTGTTTCTTTTCTGTTCTATTCCAGACAAATTTGATAAGCACCTCTCAGCACGCACAATCACTCACACACAAAAACACACATGCAGACTTCTATTAAGAAGCAGGCTGCTGTCATAACAGCAGTCAAGAGCTGAATAATGGATGGGAACAAATAGAGACAATTACTTAACAGCTTGTCAATTCAATTAGCCGACCGTTTTAATGGCTTAATCACAGTCATCCCTCCCTCTCTCCCCCTTTTTCTCCGTCTCATTTTCCTCCCCTACCTCACCTCCCTTTATTCCTATTTGTAGCAGAAGACAGGAGCGAGGAGGACGGAGGAAAAATTAAGCAGTGCTTAAGCTGTGAATGAGAGAGGCTGAGGCTGAGAAGAAAGGAAAGGAAGGAATTATAGGAAGGAAAGAAGAGAGGGATGGAGAGGATTGAAGACAGGGCTAAGATCAATAAGAAGAGACGATGAGGTAGGAGAGTAAACATGAGAGTTGAGGCAGGAAGTTAACTCATTTAGTGCCATTGACGGATTTGGACAAATTTTTCGTTTTTTTTGTTTTCTGGCAGAGGGCGCTCTTCCCCAACATGCGACTGAGTTTGGGGTCATCCTCAACACAGAAAAGCCGACAACTATGTCATAACCATGCTAAAATAACAAAAACAAGTACTCGCCAGTGAGAAGTGTGCCATCAAGTGTGCCAATTAGCCTAGTTGTAGATTGTTTTTTCTCTATGAGGAGAGTAGGGAAATGTCCTTAGCCTTAGCCAAGAGCAAACGGTCTTGATGCCAGCGGTAAAGTAGTTTGAAGTGAAATGAAATAGACGATCAGAGTTCTGCTCGAAAGTCTCTCCTTTGTAAAAACGTGTTTTTCCCCAGTTTCTTTTTCCAGATCGGCTAAGATGACATGACCACGCTGCATTGAGCAGGAAATAACTAAACGCAGGAGTGGGTTGGGAACTTACTTTTTAT